TCTGAGAGAGTATGGAATCCAAGTATTCCCAATTTAGCGAATCAAACGCTTTATCGAAATCAACCTTGAATAATAGAATCTTTTTTCTCATTTTCATTGCCCATGCGTGTACTTCATTTATCACCAATGGCCCATCAAGAATGTTTCTATCCTCGACATACGCTGACTGTACCTCGCCAATAATACCGCTGATTACCACTTTTAGTCTCGTGGCTAAAGTCTTGGAAATTATTTTGTACATGCAGCCTATCAAACTTATGGGGTGATAATCTGATAGGGAGGAGGGGTCTTTGATCTTGGGTGCGAGTGTAATAAAAGATGAGTTGCATCCACGGACAATAGTACCGAATTTATCAAACTGGAGAACAAATTTGAACACATCATCTTTCAAGACATCCCAATAATCTTTTATGAACCTAATGGTGTACCTGTCAGGCCCCGGGCCTTGTCGTTGCCGCAAGCCCATACCGCGTCTTTAATTTCGTCCATTGTGAATGGAGCTTCCAATTTGATGGCTTCCATCATCGAGATAGATTTGAAATAGGGACTGACTAGTTTGGGCCTAGATTGGCGAGTTTCAGTGAACTTATGTTTGAAGAAGTTGAGGGTTTCATTTTTAACCTCTTCCACCGATGAGATCCACGCATCGTTTACCATGAGACCTTCAATTTTGTTCCTCCTATTCTTGTTGTTTATGTGTCCATGAAAAAATCTGGTGTTTTCATCCCCTTCAACTGCCCATTTTACCCTTGATTTTTGTTTTAAATCCAGTACAGCAAAATTTTCTAATTCCATGACTTCTATCATCCAGTTCTGCTTCTGTAAGTGGTCGTAAATCAGCCATAGTTTCTAATTGTGCCATGGTGGTTTTACATCTAGGATCTCCTGTTTCTCCTTCTTTTCGGTGCTGTTTTTCCATTTTTTATTTCATCCTTAAGATATTTTAATTTGGCCCCCAAAAACGCATCTGGTTCACCATATCCGGTAAAAGTACTCCAAGCTTCCTTAACTGTGCTGTCAAACCCCTCTTTTAGCAGCCACGAATTAAGCAGTTTAAAGGGTGGGGGACCATAATCAGTAATACAAGAGATCATCCTAACCCAATTAGTCTTGGTTTTGGGGCAAGTTCTCTGACTGCTAACTCACCGGAAATCCCAAACTGTCACATAATAAACATTAAGTTAAAACCCCAACCTTGTACTTGCCTAAGTTCCCATACCACTCATCTAGTTCATTCCCCTTTGTTGGGCCAAGGCCCAACACCTAGTCCTCAACTTGGAGGTCTAAACCCATGATCTATTCTTCCAGCTTGGCCCCACATAACTTGTTTATAGGATCCAGCAAAGTCCCAATCCTATTTGGTCCACAAACAGCCCACAACCCAAGGCCCATGTGAAAAGAGCCCAACAGAGAGCGTACGCGGGGTGTACCTCTCTGGTTACGCTGGGCGTACTCCAGTTCTATGTTGACCGTCATCGGGCATGATGACCCGGTACGCTGGGCGTACAGAAATTACGCTGGGCGTACGCGAGGTTTTACCCTAATTAGTGCTTAATGGCTTAAGCACTTAAGCCCAAATTCCAGATCCATCGACCAAATGTGCCAAAGACCCATAAAGTTCCAGACTTTATCACTTTGGACGTCCATAAAGTCCTTAACACATGGTCGTAATCCATTAAGACCTTCTTACTTCATGCATGGGATGAGTCTATCTATTGGAACTGATTTTATCACTCAAGACCTCTTTTATGGTCTGAAAGGACACCCTATTTCGTCCAAGACATCACATGCACAACTTTGGGATCTTTAGAGCAATAAGGTCTCCATAAAGTTAATTTCTAGATCTATATCAAATAAGCATAAAGTTCCAAGCTTTTTACCTGCTGGAGCTTCAATAGCACAACACAACTTCAGATCTATAACCTTGATCTCCTTCTCTAACTCCTTGATGCAAGGTATTCACCTCCAAAGGTCCAAAATGCACACCAACTCACACTTCTCACACAAATTAGGGTTTAGGACGTTTTTCTGGGATATGTAGGCTGAGGATAAGCATAAGAATGAACCATAAGGGTGTTTATATAGTCCCCAACCCCGGTTATTAGGGTTTTCTCCTGACATAGGTACGCCCAGCGTACATGAGTGTACGCCCAGCGTACTAGGGCGCGACTAGTACGCTCAGCGTACCCTTATGTACGCTCAATGTACTCCTTCCTGCCTCAAAGTTGCAACTTTAGTCCTTATACTTCTCGTGATCCAACATAACCTCTCCAAGGACTCCTAAAGGCAACTAATAACAATAAAAAGAATGGTTCGAAAATATACCTGCAAGATTCGGGATGTTACAACTCTCCCCCACTTGAACTAGACTTCGTCCCCGAAGTCGAATATAGTGAAAAGATTCGGGTAGTTCTCCCGCATCTCGGCCTCCGGCTCCCACGTCCACTCGGATCCCCTCCGATGCTCCCACTGTACCTTTACCAAAGGTACTTCCTTGTTTCTCAACACCTTCACCTTCCTCTCCAATATGGCCACAGGCCTCTCAACATAGTTCAGGCGTTCATCGACCTGAATGTCATCTAATGACACCACCGCCTCATCATCCAGTATGCACTTCCTCAACTGAGAAACATGGAAGGTACTATGAATCTGGCTCAACTCCTCCGGAAGCTCCAACCTATACGCCACCCTACCTACCCTGGCGACAACCCGGAAGGGTCCGATGTATCGGGGACCCAATTTCCCCTTCTTCCTGAAACGGATCACACCCTTCCAGGGTGAGACCTTCAAGAGCACCATGTCACCGACCTGAAATTCCAACTCAGATCGGCGGCGGTCAGCATAGTTTTTATGCCGACTCTGTGCGGTCTGCAGACGCTGTCTAATCTGCTGAATCCTCTCAGTGGTCTGCAAAACCACCTCCGCCCGGCCCATAACTCGGTGGCCGACCTCGCCCCAACAGACTAGGGTACGACACCTCCGACCGTACAACAACTCGAAAGGCGTGGCGCCAATGGTGGAATGATAGTTATTGTTGTACGAAAACTCTGCAAGAGGTAGGTAGGAGTCCCAGCTCCCACCGAAGTCGATAACATAGGCTCTCAACATGTCCTCAAGAGTCTATATAGTTCGCTCACGCTGACCATCGGTCTGTGGGTGATATGCGGTGCTGAAATGTCGTCGGGTGCCCAGTTCCTCATGAAACTTCTGCCAGAATCGAGACGTAAACCGAACATCACGGTCTGAAACGATAGAGACCGGAACCCCGTGCCGTGCGACAATCTCGCGTATGTATATCTCAGCTAATTTCTCGGCCGAAGAACTCTCCCGAATAGCTAGAAAATGGGCACTCTTGGTTAGTCGATCCACGATGACCCATATGGCATCGGAGCCCCTCATCGTCCTTGGTAATTTGGTGATGAAATCCATCGTGATCTATTCCCATTTCCACATGGGAACCTCAAGAGGCTGCAGCTTGCCATGCGGTCTCTGGTGCTCGGCCTTGACCATTCTGCATGTCAGGCATCTCTCCACGTACCAAGCGATTTCTCGCTTCATGCACGGCCACCAGTAACTCAAACGTAAATCTCGATACATCTTGGTGGCCCCCGGGTGGATAGAGAAAGGAGACTTGTGAGCCTCTTCCAAAACAATCTGTCGAATCCCACCAGACATCGGAACCCAGACCCGACTGCAACGGGTCAACAATCCCCGACTATCTCGCACAAACCGGGTGTTTTCACCCTTAATCCTCTCCAGTTCCAATTTTCCTGACGTATACCCTCGACCTGAGCGTCCCTAATCAAATCTACCAGCGGAGAATCCACTGATATCCTCATACATATGGCTGGGGTAGAAGACCCAGCTGACTTGCGGCTCAAAGCGTCCGCTACCACATTCGCTTTACCCGGATGGTAAAGGATCTCGCAAGCGTAGTCCTTGACTACATCCAACCACCTACACTATCTCATATTCAGGTTGGGCTGGTCCATGATATGTCTCAAGCTCTTGTGATCCGTGTATATGGTACAACGGACCCCGTACAGATAGTCGGGGATTGTGATCACATAATTCGCGTGGGTAAGCAGTAACCACTAGTGACGGAAAAGCCTCAAGGAAGTCAGGGCACGCTAGGAACCTGTCTAGTTTACTTAATTTGGCGTCAACCCTTGTCATGTACGTGTATCTCTCCCCACCCATGTTGAAGTCATGTAGCTTAGTATTACGGATAAATGAATTAAATGCACCAGCAGTAACAGGACAGTATGTGGAATTAACTCTTTCCTCAGGTCGTCTAACCGCGTTAAAATCACCGAACAAAACCCACTTTCCCGGTTTAGACTTTTGATGTCAAGCAACTCCGCCCATAGCCCCCGTTTCTCGCATAAATTATGTGGCCCATATATATTTGCAATTATAGTGTCTCCAGTTATTCCTATCCACTCCTCAATGATAATTAGATAATGTCTTGCTTTTATTACCTCTTTTTTTTAAGCATCTACTATTCCATATGGAGATTAAACCACCAGATCTTCCGGTTGCATCTACACCATCATAGTCGTATTCTTGATTTCCCCAGCAATCTTTAATTTCTACTTTTTCGAACTCTAGCAGTTGGGTCTCCTGTATGCCGATGAAATTGGCTTTATTTAAATGTTTCAATCTCCTAACCCAATTAGTCTTCACCTCTACTCTGATACCCCTTACATTGATGGATAAGCAATTCATTATAGACCGGTTTGCTCACCGACTTCACCCACAGCGGATCCCATCATAGGATCTTGTATGTCGATTTGAAATCCAATTGCATTTCCAATCTCAGCCATTTGTAGAATCTCACATGACAGGGTTTCTTCATTGTGCACCTCCGTTGATTGTGGATGATTCGCAATTTCTGACTCCAAATTTATAGTAGCGCATTCAAGATTAGGGGTCGGAGGTATTGGTAACTGTTTGGGGATAGAGGTGTCTGATGAATGGATGAGGATGGGGATGAGCTACTATGACAAATGAATGGATGGTGGTAATTGTTTATTGGACTGAATTGGCGATTTAATTCTTTTCTGTTTGTTAGTCGTGCGCCCAGCGCTTTTAGAGTTTTTCTTTGAATTGGTATTATGGATGCAGGCCGGTGTTTTGAAGGAGAAGGGTGAGTTTGGGTTATTAGGGAATGGGCAAAAGCATCCAAGAAGAACAAGGTTTTTAATGGGTTCAATATCCACCATGCCTTCAGGTCTTGGTTTTGGGGCAAATTCCATATGTGCGACATTCTCCCCAGTATGAATTAAATTTCCAACATTGATTGTTTGGGTAATCTCAACCGTCTCCACCATTTGGGGAATAGTGTTCTCATAATTAATTTCTTCCTCGTTATCACACCCCGCCAGCGTATTCGACTTTTCCTCTTCCGGCAAGTCCCCATCAGTAGCATACCTCATCTCCGGTTTATCGGCGCCGCTGTCACTGTTTCCGCCGCCGCCTATGTCAGATTTGTCATCGGCAATTGGTTCGAATTCATTACCTGCCTCCGGTCTAATTTAACCCTCCTTGTAACAACCATAAAATTTACCAAAAATTTTAAACTTTTCAAATCCAACCCGATTAAATAAAAATTATTCAAAACCAACATAGTTTCCAAATTGTTTTCAAAACAGTTGCAAATCAGAGTTCCCAGGAATCCCAAATCATAAAACATGAGGAGGTGCACGATCACGCCTTTGCCTTCCCGCGATCATCAGAAGTAATTGAAACAATAATCGATAAATGTAAGCTCGAAGGCTTAGTGAGTTACCCCCAAAATACCAACACCATACCAATATAACCATATCAAGTAAACAAACAATAAACAGCATGCATAATGAGCCTTCAGCCTGACTGGACCACCTCCTACGGGCCTACAACCTATCTGGACCGCTCCCGAGCCTTCGGCATGACTGGACCGCCTCCTACGACCCTACAGCCTATCCGGACCGCTCGTCGGGCCTTTAGCATGACTGGACCGCCTCCTACGGGCCTACAACCTATCTGGACCGCCCCGGGTATGTTGTCCTTCAGCACAAAGCAGGACCGCCTCAACCCAACCACCAATAGATAATCAAGTGCACATAAATAACAGATGCGAGCATATACATAACAGTCAAACCGATCTAACAAATCATCAATCATAGCAACATCCTATATCCAGAATACCGACCTAACCAGGTCACTAACAACATACAAGCATACTATAACCAGGATAACAATCCAAAGGGCCGTCATTGGTGCCTTAGACCCTGTTGATATAGCGAGGATAACTCACCTCGTTGATAGTGCTGAAGTACTGAAGTTCTCTGACTGCTAACTCACCGGAAATCCCAAACTGTCACATAATAAACATTAAGTTAAAACCCCAACCTTGTACTTGCCTAAGTTCCCATACCACTCATCTAGTTCATTCCCCTTTGTTGGGCCAAGGCCCAACACCTAGTCCTCAACTTGGAGGTCTAACCCCATGATCTATTCTTCCAGCTTGGCCCCATATAACTTGTTTATAGGATCCAGCAAAGTCCCAATCCTATTTGGTCCACAAACAGCCCACAACCCAAGGCCCATGTGAAAAGAGCCCAACAGAGAGCGTACGCGGGGCGTACCTCTCTGGTTACGCTGGGCGTACTCCAGTTCTATGTTGACCGTCATCGGGCATGATGACCCGGTACGCTGGGCGTACAGAAATTACGTTGGGCGTACGCGAGGTTTTACCCTAATTAGTGCGTAATGGCTTAAGCACTTAAGCCCAAATTCCAGATCCATCGACCAAATGTGCCAAAGACCCATAAAGTTCCAGACTTTATCACTTTGGATGTCCATAAAGTCCTTAACACATGGTCGTAATCCATTAAGACCTTCTTACTTCATGCATGGGATGAGTCTATCTATTGGGAACTGATTTTTATCACTCAAGACCTCTTTTATGGTCTGAAAGGACATCCTATTTCGTCCAACACATCACATGCACAACTTTGGGATCTTTAGAGCAATAAGGTCTCCATAAAGTTAATTTCTAGATCTATATCAAATAAGCATAAAGTTCCAAGCTTTTTACCTACTGGAGCTTCAATAGCACAACACAACTTCAGATCTATAACCTTGATCTCCTTCTCTAACTCCTTGATGCAAGGTATTCACCTCCAAAGGTCCAAAATGCACACCAACTCACACTTCTCACACAAATTAGGGTTTAGGACGTTTTTCTGGGATATGTAGGCTGAGGATAAGCATAAGAATGAACCATAAGGGTGTTTATATAGTCCCCAACCCCGGTTATTAGGGTTTTCTCCTGACATAGGTACGACCAGCGTACATGAGTGTACGCCCAGCGTACTAGGGCGCGACTAGTACGCTCAGCGTACCCTTATGTACGCTCAATGTACTCCTTCCTGCCCCAAAGTTGCAACTTTAGTCCTTATACTTCTCGTGATCCAACATAACCTCTCCAAGGACTCCTAAAGGCAACTAATAACAATAAAAAGAATGGTTCGAAAATATACCTGCAAGATTCGGGATGTTACAACTCTCCCCCACTTGAACTAGACTTCGTCCCCGAAGTCGGATATAGTGAAAAGATTCGGGTAGTGCTCCCGCATCTCGGCCTCCGGCTCCCACGTCCACTCGGATCCCCTCCGATGCTCCCACTGTACCTTTACCAAAGGTACTTCCTTATTTCTCAACACCTTCACCTTCCTCTCCAATATGGCCACAGGCCTCTCAACATAGTTCAGGCGTTCATCGACCTGAATGTCATCTAATGACACCACCGCCTCATCATCCAGTATGCACTTCCTCAACTGAGAAACATGGAAGGTACTATGAATCTGGCTCAACTCCTCCGGAAGCTCCAACCTATACGCCACCCTACCTACCCTGGCGACAACCCGGAAGGGTCCGATGTATCGGGGACCCAATTTCCCCTTCTTCCTTAAACGGATCACACCCTTCCAGGGTGAGACCTTCAAGAGCACCATGTCACCAACCTGAAATTCCAACTCAGATCGGCGGCGGTCATCATAGTTTTTCTGCCGACTCTGTGCGGTCTGCAGACGCTGTCTAATCTGCTGAATCCTCTCAGTGGTCTGCAAAGCCACCTCCGCCCGGCCCATAACTCGGTGGCTGACCTCGCCCCAACAGACTAGGGTATGACACCTCCGATCGTACAACAACTCGAAAGGCGTGGCGCCAATGGTGGAATGATAGTTGTTGTTGTACGAAAACTCTGCAATAGGTAGGTAGGAGTCCCAGCTCCTACCGAAGTCGATAACACAGGCTCTCAACATGTCCTCAAGAGTCTATATAGTTCGCTCACGCTGACCATCGGTCTGTGGGTGATATGCGGTGCTGAAATGTCGTCGGGTGCCCAGTTCCTCATGAAACTTCTGCCAGAATCGAGACGTAAACCGAACATCACGGTCTGAAACGATAGAGACCGGAACCCCGTGCCGTGCGACAATCTCGCGTATGTATATCTCAGCTAATTTCTCGGCCGAAGAACTCTCCCGAATAGCTAGAAAATGGGCACTCTTGGTCAGTCGATCCACGATGACCCATATGGCATCGGAGCCCCTCATCGTCCTTGGTAATTTGGTTATGAAATCCATCGTGATCTATTCCCATTTCCACATGGGAACCTCAAGAGGCTGCAGCTTGCCATGCGGTCTCTGGTGCTCGGCCTTGACCATTCTGCATGTCAGGCATCTCTCCACGTACCAAGCGATTTCTCGCTTCATGCACGGCCACCAGTAACTCAAACGTAAATCTCGATACATCTTGGTGGCCCCGGGTGGATAGAGAAACGAGACTTGTGAGCCTCTTCCAAAACAATCTGTTGAACCCCACCAGACATCGGAACCCAGACCCGACTGCAACGGGTCAACAATCCCCGACTATCTCGCACAAACCGGGTGTTTTCACCCTTAATCCTCTCCAGTTCCAATTTTCCTGACGTATACCCTCGACCTGAGCGTCCCTAATCAAATCTACCAGCGGAGAATCCACTGATATCCTCATACATATGGCTGGGGTAGAAGACCCACCTGACTTGCGGCTCAAAGCGTCCGCTACCACATTTGCTTTACCCGGATGGTAAAGGATCTCGCAATCGTAGTCCTTGACTACATCCAACCACCTACACTACCTCATATTCAGGTTGGGCTGGTCCATGATATGTCTCAAGCTCTTGTGATCCGTGTATATGGTACAACGGACCCCGTACAGATAATGTCTCCAAATCTTGAGGGCGAAAACCACTGCCCCCAATTCCAGGTCATGCGTAGGGTACCTCGTCTCATGCGGCTTTAACTGCCGCAATGCATAAGCTATCACTCGTCTTCTCTGCATGAGGACCGCCCCCAACCCTGTGATGGATGCATCACAAAATACCACAAAATCCTCAACCCCATCTGGGAGGGTCAGAACTGGAGCCTCGCACAAACATTGTCGTAGGGTCTCAAACGCCCTCTGATGCTCGGAACCCCACCGGAAATCCACCCCCTTCCTCGTCAGACGAGTGAGAGGTACTGTAATTTTTGAAAAATCCTGGATAAATCTCCGGTAGTACCCTGCTAACCCCAAGAAACTCCTGATGTCCGAGGGAGATTTAGGAGCCTCCTCGACCAAAATTCCCTCCTGGTTAATGAGATGCCCCAGGAACTGGACCTCCCGTAACCAAAACTCACACTTCGAGAACTTAGCATACAGTCGTTCTCGTCTCAGAACCCCCAATAACTCCCGTAAATTCTCCTCGTGCTGCTCTCGGGTCTTGGAATACACTAAGATATCATCTATGAACACAATAACCGAACGGTCGAGCATCGGCCTGCAGACCCGATTCATCAGGTCCATAAACATTGCCTACGCGTTGGTGAGTCCAAACGGCATCACCACGAACTTGTAATGCCCATAACGAGTCTGAAACGTTGTCTTCTCCACCTCCTCCTCTCTCACTCTGACCTGATGATACCCTGATCTCAAATCGATCTTGGAAAACCAAGACGCACCCTGTAACTGATCGAAGAGATCGTCTATCCTCGGGAGTGGATAACGGTTTTTCACTGTTAGCTTGTTCAACTCCCGGTAGTCGATGCACATCCGGTGCGACCTATCCTTTTTCTTGACAAAAAGGATCGGTGCTCCCCATGGAGAACTGCTCAGACGAATGAACTGCTTGCCCAGCAGCTCCTGTAACTGAGATGACAACTCCTGCATCTCCGGTGGTGCTAATCGGTACGGCGCCTTAGCGATAGGGGCCGCACCTGGCACTAGATCGATCCTGAACTCGACCTGCCTCTCCGGAGGCACTTCGGGTAACTCCTCCGGAAACACATCAGCAAATTCTCTAACCACTGGAACCTCTGAAACTGTGGTCTGCTCCCCGACCTACGTATCCACCACATACGCTAAATAACCTGCACACCCGTGCTGATTATACTGTCGAGCTCTGGCAGCCGAACAAGACCCGAAACCTGATCTGGTGCCCTCCCTATAAATTACCAACTCTCCCCCACTTGGGGTTCAAACCACCACCTTCTGGCCCTCACAGTCGATCATGGCCCCGAAGCGACTGAGCTAATCCATCCCTACAATCACGCATACATCTCCCATGGGAATCGGAATCAAATCTATCGAAAAAGATACCACGAATATCTCTAATGCACAACCTCGATAGACTGATGACGCTGAAACCCCGTGCTCATCGGCAATAGAAACTCGCAATGGGCACTCGAGCTCGCCCACTGGCACCCAGAACTCCCTACTGAAGGTACGAGATACAAAAGACCGACTCGCCCCCGAGTCAAATAAAACCAAAGCAGGCAGAGAGTTTACTAAAAACGTACCTAAACACAGGTATGACAAATAAACATAACATAGACATAATAAATGAGACAAAGGTTAGAAACATACCAGCTACCACATCCGGTGCTGCCCTGGCCTCCTCGGCCGTAAACTGGAAAGCGCACCCCTGAGCCCTCGGGGGCTCTACTCTACCCTGTCTCCCATCGGTGATCCTCAATGTGGCCGGCGCGGGAGCCTGCGCTGGCCTGGTAGCGAGCTGTGGCCAGTTGGTCTTCACGTGACCAACCTGATGACAGTGGTAGCAGATCCTCATGTCTGGGGTAATAGCGGGCTGGCGACGCTCCCTCGCGTAGTGCCCCCTCCTTGCCACATTTGTGGCATCCAGTACTCGGGCGACATGCCCCAGTATGAACCTTCCCGCACTTGCCACAAGTGCGGGCACGTTGCCCTCCTGTCTTGGAATCTGAGGCCTTGAACCGCTTTGGCGCCGGCTGCGCCTGCACTGGGACCTGTCTCGCCTCTCGCAACTGTAACTCAATCTCCAACTCACGCCGCCTTGCGGCCTCCTGGAGATCCAATAGAGTATCACATCTATGGGTCGCAACAAACTGTCTGATATCGGTCTTGAGCATGCTCAGATAACGAGTCACCTGAGCCCGCTCAGAGGCAAACTCCAGGCAGAACATCGCCCTCTCAGTAAACAACCTGGTGATCTCTGTCACCGTCTCCGTACCCTGCTTCAGGTCCAGGAACTCCTGTGCTAGCCTCTCCCTCTCTACTCGTGGAACATAGCGAGTACTGAACATGTCCCTGAACTGCTCCCATGAAATCGCAGCTCACTGCTCATCAGTGTATGATCCAGTAACCAATCTCCACCAATCCTTCGCCCCGAGCCTCATCAGGTTCAGAGCACACCTCACCCTTTGATCAGTAGGACATGAACACGTGAAGAAAAATCCCTCCACATCTGACAACCATCTCATAGCAACAATCGGGTCCTGAAACCCGTCAAAAGTAGGGGCTTCCTGTTATCGAAGTCCCGGTACTGAAAGCCCTGCTGGCTCCTCCTCCTGCTGCGGATACAGCTGATGCAGCCGCCGCGGCAGCCATCTCTGCAAGAGCTGCATAGCACTCGTCAAAGTACTCAACCATGGCGGTCTTAATCGACCCAAACATCTCCGGTAGCTGAGCCCGGAACAATGCAGCAACCTCATCATGCAGGATCTCTCGAATCCTCACATCCAACTCGTCCGTACCCATCTGCACCACAGGCTCTGGTGCTGGTGGCCTCTCCTGACCTCCATCTCCTGCTCCTGATCCTGACCTGGATGCTGTCGTAAAACATCTCATAATCACCATACTGAAACATACCAAGAAGTATCAGATAACCACATAATAGAAGGAAACCAACTCGCAACCAACCATAGGGGTTGTGACTTCCTTGTACGCGTATGGGTCATGTTCTTTCAGTAGTACGGGCCCATACTACCTTCCACACCTACCCATATTTGTCTCAAGTATCACCCCAACGCCCTAACAATAGACATATACGCAGCGAGCGCTAAATTCTCACTCCTATATATCTCATGACTGGCCTCCCGGCCTCACACAACCCACCCATCCATAAAACTTCCACCAACCCTGCAGAACTAGTGTATGCTAGTCATACATAACGCTGGACCCCATAGACTTTCGAATATCCAATCCTACCCTAAGCTCCCAATCAGACAAGAACAGAACATAAGGCCAAATCAAACATTCTCAGTCTATAAGATCTTAATTATGTATAACTGTTATGCATACCCTAAGCAACTACAGTAATGATGTCAATCTCATATAAAAGAAACCCTAGGCTAGTAGGCATCATGTAATCAGACAATTCTATCATGCAGTTCGTGAAGATCCTTAGCCTAGTACTAGCATGTTGTTCTAACATATCACATAAGCAAATAACTATATGGTATTTTGGGGTCTACTTACTGGCTCTGGTTGATCGTACACTTGCATCCTCCATTATTATTTTGAAAACCATTTAAAAAATCATTTTGTAAATCCTTTCCTTGATTTGAGACTGGATTCACACGAATGTTCGTCCAATTCACTCAAACCAAGGCTCTGATACCACCTTGTAACAACCATAAAATTAACCAAAAATTTTAAACTTTTCAAATCCAACCCGATTAAATAAAAATTATTCAAAACCAACATAGTTTCCAAATTGTTTTCAAAACAGTTGCAAATCAGAGTTCCCAGAAATCCCAAATCATAAAACATGAGGAGGTGCACGATCACGCCTTTGTCTTCCCGCGATCATCAGAAGTACCTGAAACAATAATCGATAAATGTAAGCTCGAAGGCTTAGTGAGTTACCCCCAAAATACCAACACCATACCAATATAACCATATCAAGTAAACAAACAATAAACAACATGCATAATGAGCCTTCAGCCTGACTGGACCGCCTCCTACGGGCCTACAGCCTATCTGGACCGCTCCCGAGCCTTCAGCATGACTGGACCGCCTCCTACGGGCCTACAGCCTATCCGGACCGCTCGTCGGACCTTCGGCATGACTGGACCGCCTCCTATGGGCCTACAGCCTATCCGGACCGCCCCGGGTATGTTGGCCTTCAGCACAAAGCAGGACCGCCTCAACCCAACCACCAACAGATAATCATGTGCACATAAATAACAGATGCTAGCATATACATAACAGTCAAACTGATCTAACAGATCATCAATCATAGCAACATCCTATATCCAGAATCCCGACCTAACCAGGTCACTAACAGCATACAATCATACTATAACCAGGATAACAATCCAAAGGGCCAGCATTGGTGCCTTAGACCCTGTTGATATAGTGAGGATAACTCACCTCGCTGATAGTGTTGAAGTATTGAAGTTCTCTGACTGCTAACTCACCGGAAATCCCGAACTGTCACATAATAAACATTAAGTTAAAACCCCAACCTTTTACTTCCTTAAGTTCCCATACCACTCATCTAGTTCATTCCCCTTTGTTGGGCCAAGGCCCAACACCTAGTCCTCAACTTGGAGGTCTATATACCTAGGTCCATCATTGGCCCAATTTACCAAATTGGGCCCACCCTCCTTATTGGGCCTAACCCCATGATCTATTCTTCCAACTTGGCCCCACATAACTTGTTTATAGGATCCAACAAAGTCCCAATCCTATTTGGTCCATAAACAGCCCACAACCCAAGGCCCATGTGAAAAAGAGCCCAACTGAGAGCGTACGCGGGGCTTACCTCTCTGGTTACGCTGGGCGTACTCCAGTTCTATGTTAACCATCATCGGGCATGTTGACCCGATACGCTGGGTGTACAGAAATTATGTCGGGCGTACGCGAGGTTTTACCAAAACCCCAATTAGTGCTTAATGGCTTAAGCACTTAAGCCCAAATTCCAGATCCATCGACCAAATGTGCCAAAGACCCATAAAGTTCCAGACTTTATCACTTTTGACGTCCATAAAGTCCTTAACACATGGTCTTAATCCATTAAGACCTTCTTACTTCATGCATGGGATGAGTCTAGCTATTGGGAACTGATTTTTATCACTCAAGACCTCTTCTAAGACCTTCTTACTGAAGTAATTACTCCCACTTTGCCCGTGGAGTAATCCCTTCTGTTTGATATGTTGTCAAAGGGGCTTATTATCCTTCCATAGCGTCTTGCTATGTTGGAGAAATTATCTTCATCCCACAATGTTAAAGGAACTCCCAGTATTTTCAGCCACGCTGTACTTTCGTATTGTAGTTCCTGTTGTTCTGCACGAATGAGCCATTTAAACCAATCTTTCCATCTAGTGTTGCCTTCAAGGAATTCCATCGCACTGACAGATCTGTTCAACTCAATGGCTACATGCAGTCCACCGAGGTATTTGGTTTCTTCGTTTACAATGTTCGTGACATGCATCATGCCGATATGATCGAAACTATGCGCTTCCCCTGCCAACACCTTTTTCTTGATCCAATCACTCATGTATGTTCTGGTGTTTAGCACAACTGGAGGCTTCTTGAATAGCGGTACCCATTCCCGGTTCCCAGCCAGAGCCTGTGCAAAGGTTTTAGAGTCTCTGTTTCCCCATGTTCTTGGTTGTTCACCGGTGTTTCCTATTGTCATTTTGGGTCTGTTATTTGTCGTGTGCTACACTTCCCGACCTTTCATTGGGAAGATTTTACGTGGATGTTTCGATATAATCACTACCAGTACCTTGTTCCTGCACTCCATGCCATGTAGTTTTTCCTCCAAAGCTTTTTCGTCCTCCACCTCCACATATCGAACAAACGCAAAGTTCTTCCTGTTGTAGTCTTTCTTACCGCCAAAGTATACATCTACCACCTTCCTGAAAGCACTGAAAGGTTTGCGAAGTTCTTCTTTCTTCGTTCCATTTGGGAATCATGTCACATAATAGTTGGTAAGCTTTTCATCTCTATGCATTCTGTTGTGATTTTGGGTTTTCCTCCGTTGCACCTCCGTCCAACCACCTTCGGTCATTTTTTAATTATACTTTCAATGAGTTAGTTGTATAAAATCCATTCCATGAAATTACCTGATATTATTGTTCCAAACCATGACATCACCTGCACATGCATACTATAGACACTTTAATTTCTTATAAGTTTCATTAGAGATTGTTGTAGTGAGACAGAATTTAGATCGTTAGATGTGATTTATCGAGATTATGGATGGGGGCTTCTTTTGAATATGTTTGAGACTATTCGAAGTAACTTTTGGTAGATCAAGTGCCGAATTGTTGGCCATTTTGAGATTTTTTTTCTCGTCCTCTGTAAGTGAGGGTATTTTTGGAAAACCTACTATTTGCATAGAATCCATCACTTGTGATAATCGACGATTTGTAACATTTATGGGAAGTTCACTCCAATAGTGTCCTCACCTACTCTTTTGTTTAACATTTGTAGGTGCACTTCGGGTAAAGACAAAAATAGGGTCTGATAACAACAAAGGTAAACAGTAGGAAATTGACCAGTGTAGCAACAACATCCGTGTATGACCCTCTATTGCAATTTGCAATGCTCTTTAAGTTGTTCTGATTTTTTTCTTTGTTTCAAGTTCTTGCCTTTTCTTTTCAGCAAGCAATTAATTGGTTTGTAGTTTACTTTTCAACTCTTTGTTAAGAGAATCGATTTTCTCTCTTCTTCATTTAGCCTAATTTTCTCTGATTCAAATCTGTGTTCAACACTCTCCAGAGTTACGTTCACACCATGGCCTCGCCCCTTCTCAAATTATTGTTTGAAAAACTATATAATGTTCATCATATCAGCACAATCACGTTCATTAATTAGAATAAAACAAAGATCAAATAGTAAATACGTGGTTTTAAAGGATTTAACCACTCAAACCTAAATATAAATTTAAATGAATTAGAGGCAAAAGAAAAACAAATAAATGTTACATGTTTACTGCATTATAGAAAAGAAGTTGCAGGTAGTACCAGGTTAGACTACCTTCTTAAATCTCCATAAGACTATCTAAATGCGGTAACCACTTGAAGTAGCATGTAGTATCAAAAAAGACTACATTCATTATGCTTCGTGACCAACTCATCATATTGAGGTTAGGCTTTCTAAGGTTGGTATCATTAACTATATGGTTGGGATTTCTAGCAGATTTAGCTTCATGTAAGCTTAGTTATTTCCATAATATTAAAACATCATGGACTAATAAGGAATTGGTAATATTATAGAGAACGCCATGATTAATCATAAACAATATTATATATATATATATATATATATATATATATATATATATATATATATATACACCTGAATCAGGGCTCTAAATTGGAAGATGGACAATGTGTTTACTTTCTCCTAGTGCATAAAAGCCTTCTTGTTTATTAACCATAAAAAAATACATGAATAGAGCTCTTAGGCTTGTTCAAATCATTGGTCTCCTTTCTTGCAAATGTAATCACATTCAACTAAAATCAAACCCAAAAACATCATAAAACCAACACACAAAAAAGGGTTTGTTCCGGATACCTTAAATATGGAATTATCTTTATGAGAGAATGGATGAAATGATGTTTTAGACACTGCACTCTATGATTTTTTTAGCCCGAAACTCTGTTTTTCGCCTCCATTAAACACCAGAATACCTGTTACAAATTAGATCCAAATCTTAATTATCTTTTTATTAAAGTCCAACAAAATAATATACAAAACTTAGACCCTAACATCACACTAACATCACTCTGGGACATTGGTACATTACAGACAAAAGGTATAGAGAAAAGCATTAATGTTAACTAAACATAAGCTTTAAGACCCATTATTTCTAATCAATATCTAACACTAAACCGGTCACTTAATAGTAGTGTGATAGATGTCTTATATGTACCTGGATGAGAAAATCACGAATATGATGGTGGTTGTATAGATTTGCTCTTACCATTTGTTTAACTAACAAAAAAAACACCAAAAACCTTCACTTAAAAGAAAAACATTTTAGATACTTAGATATTACATAACAAAAACAAAATACTTGAGTCGAGAAAGAAGACTAGAGAGAGAACCAATATCGATTATGATGGTCTTGAAGCTGGTGAGTGGTTCGACAATGTTGGCTGGTAAAGGCTTAAATTTTATAAGATTGAACAACCTCATAGCAAAACCTGAAAAAACCAAAAACAGACATAACAATCGATCAATAAAAAACCCAAAGAGATTTAACCTTGATATGTTGAAGGCTTCAACTTTATACGATCAATCTCAAAATCAATCACAATTGGTCTGTCTTCATATGTCGATCTCTGTTTCCTTCAATTTTTAACCAATCAGAAAGAGTAACCTTTATCTGCTTTGAGAGACAGAGGGAGAAGAGTAAGAACTAAAGAAGCATGAAGTACATGATTTGTCGGTGGAGATAGAAGAGATGAATGAGAAGAGAGTTAGCTTCATTTGTTTACATACCTTCAGACTTCCTCTCCCTAAGTTCATAGTTGTTCAAATTAAACATCAACTTATATAATCAAATACATAGACATAAACATATAATAAAATTGAAAAGCAGAAGAAAAAAGAGACATTAAAGGAAATGGTGGACGACAGCGTGCGATGGTGTTGGCAGTCGATGCAACAATGGTGATGAACAAAGCATAAGGTGGTCGATGGGCTTCTCACGCTGCCGTCCACAATATGTGCGGTAACGTATGGTAGATAACGCATGATGTGGTTAAGTGCGGTAACACCACACAATGACCCTCAAAAAACATGATGACACATGTAACATGTGATGAATTTACCACATACTCTATCCTCTTTATTAAAGGTTTCAAAAGTATAATTTTATGTTTCTACATCATCATGGAAAATAATAAACTTAATATTCTAAACAATCACTAGAAATACTTTAGACGTATCAACATTTAAACCTCTTATATTGAACTCCAGATATCCATATTTACATCATGGTTGCTTATTCTATATATATTTCATATTTATTGTAATGCTTGGTCTAATGGTAAACAAATAGTTGTATGTAGATTAGACATAAGGGCCAAACATTATTCAAACATATTTATTAAAATGTATAATGTTTTTATATATATATTTTTATTTTAACACGGCTTTTTCTTATTGCACTTAAGACTTTGCATTTTTCAATTTTTACAATCTTGACCATTTTTCTCATTAACTGGTTGTCACTACTAACCTGGAATACGATGTTGATGCAATATGTTTATATGACACTGTCTGGTTACATGCCAAAATTGAAAAAAATAGCATAAAAGATAACTAATTTTTCATTTTTTTTTCAATTTTTACACTATGTTTTCATTTTTTTTAATTTGACACTCCATTACTTTTTGTTATAAATGGAACATCATTTTTATTAATTTTATTCACTAAAAAATGAAATTGTGTTAAATAAAGTTAAAAAGGGAAAATTATAAAAAGTAACTTTATAAATAAATAATGAAATTAAAAATATTATATAAAAAATAACGTTGTACAAAAAAAAGATTCATATTATCTAAGGCTTGAAGATGTGGACATAACTTATGGTGTGGTTAATGTCACGTGGCACCGTACATGTGTGGTAATACTACACAATGACCCTCAAAATGTAACATCCCGATGATAAGGTATTTCAAATTCCAACACTATAATTTTCTTATGTTGCATTTTGGTACCTAAGTTCAAGAAAATGTGCAAAAGGAGCCCTAGTGGCATTTTTGTAATTTGGCCTTGAGGAGTACGCCATGCGTACTAGTGTGTACGTTGAGCGTACATCAATGTATGCAGGGCGTACTTTCCAGATAAGGAAACCCTGTTTTTTATGGTGTGACTCATATTTAAGCACTCTTATGGCCTCATTTCATTCACCTTAACTGCCTCCATCCCTCTCATACGTTTGTGCAACCCTAGTTTCACCTTGAGGAGCCTTTTCAAGCTTAAAATTGTGTTTTTGGTGCCTTAGAAGAAGAAGGAAGGAAGTCAAGCTCATATTGATGGAGTGGAATACTTGGATTTGGGATTTCTACTTCATTTGCAACCATTCTAAGGTATAAAGCTTGCAACTTTATCCCTCTAGCATATAGATCTAGATTTGGATGTCTTTATGGAGTTTTTTGGTCCCAAAATATTAGATCTTAAACATGGCATGTTCTTGACCTTGAGTTGTCCTTTCAGACCCTAGGAGGGGTCTTAAGTCATAAAAATGGGTTCCAAGTGGTTAGTTTTGCTTCATGTATCATTTAGAAAGTCTTAATTGAACAAGACCTTGTGTTAAGCACTTACTGGACATGCTAGGTCATAAAGTTGGAGACTTAATGACTCATAGGAGGATTTTAGCCATGGATTTGAATTATGGACATAAGAACTTAAGCTATTAAGCTCTTAATGGAGTTTGGGACTTGCGAGGGTACACCCCGCGTGCCCGGAGTACCCCCTGCGTACAAGGTCAACCACCCCGATGGTGGTCAACTGCGAGGTTGTGTGTACGTTCAGCGTACCTCTGGAATACGCCCCGCATACGCACCTTGAGTTAACTTGGAGGATTTGACTCGGTTGGGTTGACTCAGTTGACCTAGTTGGTTTGACTAGTTGTCTTTGACCAAGTTTGACCTTGAGGGTATTTTGGGTTTTGATGGA